GCACTCCCCCAGCTTGGCAGGTGGCCTGCGTCTGTCCTTCCCTTCCATCCCACGCTGAAGGCCCCAGCCAGACGCTGGGCAGAGCTCACATCACATCGCTTTACCACCTGGGGCCTGGGGAAATGTCTGTACTTTGGGGATGTCACAGAAATACATTTTTGTGCAAAGTGGAGAAGAACAGAGCGTCTTTTTTGTGGAAGGGGTGGGGATTGCTATCCTGGCTTCCGGGCTCTGGAGAGGGGTTTGGGTGGCCCCCCTGTAGGGGGCCTGAAGTGTGGGCCATGCCATTCTGTGGTGAGGAAGGGTGCATCTGGTGGGTTTGTGTGCCTGGCCCACAAGGCCAATCGACTGCGGGCTAGGGACAGATGGCACAGTGGGCTGGAGTACCTGTTTCCTCCACATGCTCTTCATACCCTGTGCCCGGACACAGAGACACAGCTGGCAGCCAGACTCACAAGGCCATGCCCGGGATGGCTCGAGCTGGTGGGAGAGACAGATGGTAAATACGAGGCTACTCTGTGGGACAGTGGGAGAAGGCGCCCCCTGCAGGCTGGTGGAGCAGAGCGGGAGATCAGGGAAGCCTGGAGGGAGCCGGCAGCAGCGCCCTGGGGACTGAGGGAGGAGCCAGCACGCTGTTCCCCGCGAGTCTGAGAGGCTGCTCACAAGAGGAGGCAGCCGAGCTAAATCCAGCAGCAAGACGGGGGCTGCCAGGCCTGGGCTGAGGGGCCTGGGAAAGAGCATCCTAGACAGGGGGTCCTGCCAGGGAGGACAGCGAAGCAGCCCTGTGTGGCTGCAGCAGGTTGAAGGAACAAGGGTGGAGCCGGAGGAGACAGAGAAGTAGCTGGGGCCAAATCGTGAGGTGACCAGACTCTGGCTTGGCCCAGGACAGTCCTGGTTTACACCTGTGGTCCCACTGTAACCATCGGCAGTATCATCACTCATTCTCAAAGGTGCCCTGGCTGGACTAATAAACCACATGGTCACATTTCTTACAGGCCATGGGGAGGGACAGTTGTTGGCAGATTTAATCCGGGAGCATTAGGACCTGATTAAACATTCCAGGAACCTGAGCATTCAGACTCTTCCCACCTCTGGTGTCGAACCAAGCCCCCTCTTCTTCTCCTCTCTTCCCCCATGAGCAGGGCCTGGACCAGGCCTCTCTCCCCTCTGGGTGACAGCCCCTGCCACTGGCCACCCACAGGACCTGGGCAGAAAGGGCATCAGGAACAGTGGTTTGCCTTGGAATCCTGGTGGGTGGACCGTGCCTGGGAGGGAACAAGGGCAGTGCCTGACAGGTGCCTCCAATGGCAGCTGACGTTGCTGAACCCTTCATCTGTGCATCAGGGCCTCTGCTAAGCGCTTTATGTGTTAATACAACCTGCTTCCTCCTCATCCTCACAACAACCCATTTTACAGAGAAGGACACTGAGGCTCAGAGAGGTGAAATGATTTCTTGCCTCAAGGTTGCCACAGTAAAGAGGAGGGAAAACAAGAGTTCCCGAGATGTGCATGGTGCTCCTCCCCTTGCTCCCAGTCCTGGCACCTGCTGTTTCCCATGGGGGAACATTCTAGTTCCTGCTCACCCCATCACAACACCTACTTATCATGGGGCTGAAATTGCTTTGTCTGCCTCCCCCATTGGACTGTGAGCAACAAGCTACGTAAAGGCTCTGCTGTGGCCCAGCACATAGCACAGAACTTGGCCACACAAAACCCTCACAAAAAAAACGCCCAGACACGTGCAGTGGCACGCACCTGTTGTCCCAGCTACCCGGGAGGGAGGCTGATGCAGGAGGATTGTTAGAGGCCAGAAGTTCTAGGCTGCAGTGAGCTATGATCATACCTATGAATAGCCACTGCACTCCAGTCTGGGCAATATAGCGAGACTCTGTCTCTAAAAAATAAAAATAAAAATAAAAAAACTTACCAGATTCCCTGGTGGTCGAGGGGTTAGGAAAACAGAAAAACAAAAAAACTTGCCAGATGAATGGAAGGGAAGGATTTGCCTTACCCTGTTCGTGATGCTACAACAAATACATGAAACTGGGTAATTTATAAAGAACAGAAACTTATTTCTACAAGTTCAGATCAAGGCACTGGCAGGATTGGTGTCTGGTGAGGGTCACTCTCTGCTTCCAAGATGGTGCCTTGTTGCTGCATCTGCCAGATGGGAGGAAGACAGTGTCCTGACATGGCAGGAGGGATGGAAGGGCAAGAGGGGCACAATCACTGTGTCCTCACACAGGAGAAGAGCAGAGTGAAAGATCCAAAGGGCCTAAGCTAATTCCCTCCAGCCCTTTGATAAGGCTCTAAGCCATCATGAGGGCAAAAGGCCCCACCTCTCAATACCACCACAATGGGGATTAAGTTTCAACCCATGAATTTTGGAGGGGACACATTTAAACCACATCAGCAGGGCTTTGGAACATTCACTACAGCCCAGGGTCCAATCATCTGTTTCACAAAGGAAGAAATTATATTTTGCCACTTAGGGCCCTCAAACACGACCCAGCTCTCCAAAAGTAGACTAATGTCTAAACAAGAAAGCCATTTTACTGAGTCTCCATAAGAAACGTGACCCCCACTAAGAGCTGGAATCAGTGCAAATCTCTATGTGAAGCCTGATATCAGGCAAAAGATGCTCAGGGGACACAATCTGAGCAAGAAGGTTGTGAGTAGCCGGGGTCATCAAACTGCAGTCACACGATGTCACCCTCTCCACCATGCGGAAACCTGAGCAAACCCCCACCCAGGATGAACCCAGCTGCCTGCCTGTCCTATTGCCCCCAAAACGGCAATTGACTTATTTCATGTCTCTGCCCCAGCAAGATGTGAGCTCGCTGAAGGAAGGGGTCAGTCTGGACCCTGGATCAGTTAGGGTGCTTTAGGTGCAGGCAACAGAAACCCACCCTGGATGTCAGGATGTGGCAGAGCTCACAGAACCAAAAGATAAACGGTTCTATCGGGTCTCAGGAGGGACATGCCCCAGAGTGGCTTGGGGGATCTGGCTCCCAGGAGCCCACAGCTGGCCTCTTCAGGGCACTGCCATCAGGTGATAAATCCTTCCCAGCTGCTCTCCTTCCTGTGCTCAAGATTCAAGAAAGACTGGCCAGCTTGGGGGCTGTGCCCCACCTCACTGAGGGTGGGGAGGTCTGAGCGCTCTGATGGTACCGCTAAGATTGTGCCCGATGAAGGACTATTCCCCAAAGAATAGTCTAGGTACTGGCACCAGATCAAGGGAGAATAGATGCCAGGTGGGTGTGTGCCCAGTGTCTTGATTCTCTCCTTAACCAAACTCTAGCCACACTCCTCTAAGCCCTCTTCTTAACTAGTCCTCAACACTGGCCTACAAAAACTAAAGACTCTTAGCACAAATGATCTCATCCATCCCCTCCCCACATATTAAAGACTTAAACAAACACTGACATAACTAGCAGTCACCTCTGCACAAACAGAAGTTGAGTTAGTTCCCACTGGGCCCTGTTCCCTATTGCAATAGTATGTTACTGATTAAAATCTGTCCTTACCACTTGAACTAGCGTCCAGCTTTGTTTATCTTTGATACCTGCACAGTGTGCCTGTCCCACGGAAACTTCAGAATTATTTGTTGAGTGGATGATGTGCTAGAGGTCCCCCCTCAGCACGTTAAGTGACACACACCCATTGCCGTTATCAAGACTGAGTTGCAATGACAGACACCAACTCAAACATCCACTCAGGTTCTTCAAAGGTGGGAAGTCATTGACTAATACAACTGGGAACCTAGAGTGATTGTTGGCTTCAGGTGTAGCTGGATCTAGACGGCCCAGACAATGCTGTTAATGCTACCTCTTGCTCTTTCTTAGAACTGCTTGTCTCTGATATTTATCAGTCATTCTCTCCTACCACAGACAGACTCTCCCCACATGGTGTAAAGATGGTTCCTGGTTGCCCTTATATCCTATTCCTTATGTGTGAGATCCAAAAACTGCCCCTTTTCCTCTCAGCATCTATATGGTAATCACATGGAATGACTGTGATTGGCCCTGCTCACTCACAGGCCCACACCTGGCCTCCCACCACCCTTCGGGGTGAGGGGCAGCCCCTCCAGAACCACGTGGGATGGGAAGAGCCAGCTCCCCAACAGAAAAAGGGATGTGGAGCTGTCAACATCGTCAGAGGGGTATGCTGCAGGAGCTGGGACGGGCCAATCAGCGCAGGCAGAGGTGGACGCTGGTGTCGGTGGGAGGTGCCTGGGAAAAGCAGGGCTGAAGGAAGGCCCTGGGGACACAGGGAAGAACAGCCTGAAAGCTCCCGCTGGGAAAGTCAGCCTGGCAGAGTGTAGGTGGTGGCTTAGAGCAGGGAAGACAGGACAGTCCTGTGCTAAGACACTGCACTTCCATCATTTAATTCCCCCAGACACCTTATTGTCATCCTCCTTATTGAGATAGAAAATAGAGCTCAGAAGGGTTCAGTAACTTGCCCAAGGTCACACAGGTAGGAAGGGGCAGCGGGCAGCGCTGATATTTCTAACTCCCACCCAAGTTAGGCCACGCACCAGGGACTTCCACTTTTTTCATTCGTTTGCAGTATCTGAAAATGAATCGAAACGAGGTAAGGATGTCACCACTGAGCAACCCTGGGCGAGCTGTACCCAGGGGCACAGTTTTGCCTCCCGGAGCTATGGCACGCACCTGGACCTTCGAGGCGCCCAGGGAGCTGCACGCATGCGCGAGGCCGTCGGGGCGGATCCCAGGGGAGCGGGCGGAGACGCGCGCCTGCTCCTGGGCTTTCAAAAGTTACCTGCTGGTGGGGTCGGGAGTTGGGGGAGTTTCCAGCTGCGCGCGCGCTGGCCCCGCCCTCGGCCTCTTCAGGCACCTGTTGGTTTGAGGGCCCACTCGGCCGCAGCTGCCACCCAATAGGCAGCCTCCCTGAGCCAGCTCAGCCCCGCCCACCGCAGGATCCACCAATCCCAGGCTGGCCGCGGCCCCCTCCCTCGGAGGGCCCGCCCCTCTGGGCGCTTCTTCCGGGTGGGGCCCCGGGCCGAGGCGATGGCGCCCTGGGCGCTCCTCAGCCCTGGCGTCCTGGTGCGGAGCGGGCACACCGTGCTGACCTGGGGGATCACGCTGGTGCTCTTCCTGCACGATACCGGTGAGCCGGACCCCGCGCGACCCTGGACCCACCCGCTCCCGCCTGGTTCCCCAGACGTTTGGGTCTCACAGGGTCCCCCGCCTGATCCCCAGAGATCCTGGGATTGACCCGATCTCCGCCAGCTCCTGAAGCCCCCTCCCCAGCTATCATTCCAAGGGCCACCTGCTCTCCGCCTGATACCCAGTTGATCCCTAATTAATCTCAGCATCTTCCTGATCACTGCGAGGTGCCCTGTCCATCCAGGACCCATCTGGCGCCCACTGGGTCTCAGCCCTGTCTCCCCTGATCCTTCCCAGGAATTGGCTCCCAGCCTTTTCACCCATAAGATCAGGAGGATCAACTAGATTCAAGGACTGGCATCCCCCCCACACCCTGCCCCACCACCATAGCCACTAGCTGCCCAAGTCCGTAGGGGAGCGGTCTGTCTGCCATCTTTCCATGGTAGCGCCCATTCCCCCTCCCATCTTTACCCTCAGTAGCTCCCTACCCAGCCCCTGGATGGTCCAGCCTCAGCCCCTGGACTGGGGGCCCTTCTCACTTTGCTCCCAAGACCTCAAATCTCTTTCACTGCCTTTGCCCTTTAGCCTAGAACCTTGCTCAGGTCTCCCCATCAGAAGACACCCTCTCAAACCACCCGTTTCCTTCTCTGCTCTTTTACAACCAGGGGCACCACGCTCTGCTGATGCCCCCTCATTCCTCACCACCTCCCCCGGCCCCCCGCTTCCCCCAAATCTCCGGTCATTCCTGTGGGCTTAAGCCCAGACTGGACCCTTCCTGGCCTGGGCTCCCCTCATGCCCCTCTGTGGTATCTGAGCCCACCAGCTCCACCCTCCTACGTCTTTGTCTCCTGTGTGTCAGACCTGGCCAGTCTATCCCTGTCAGAGAGCCAGAGACCCAGGATCCCTCCTCCCTCTCTCCACATCCATTCAGATCTGGTCCCCTTCCTGCCAGACTTTGTTCAGCCACCATCTTCTTCCTCTTTGCCAGACCCTGCGGCCAGACTTCCCCCTGACCCACCTTTTCTCCAGCAGCAGGAGGGCTTTCAGAAAACAGGTCTTGCCCTATAACCTTCCATGGTTCCCTATTACCCTCCAGATAAAGCGCAGATGAACTGCTGGCCACACATGGCCACCCATAGATCCCCACCTCCAGGCCTTTGCTTGGCCAGAAGCGCATTTCCCCACCACCAGCTGCACCCCAGCCCCACCCCCTCCTGTTCTGCCCCGGCCCCAGCCTCACTGTTCTCTTCCGGCCCCTCCAGAGCTGCGGCAATGGGAAGAGCAGGGGGAGCTGCTCCTGCCTCTCACCTTCTTGCTCCTGGTGCTGGGCTCCTTGCTGCTCTACCTGGCCGTGTCACTCATGGACCCAGGCTACGTGAATGTTCAGCCCCAGCCCCAGGTAACCAGGGCCCCTGTGGGCCTGAACCCCTCCTTCCATCAGCAGGGACCCAAGGCCCCAGTAATGGTCTCCGTGCCAGGCCCTGTGCTGTGGGCTCTTGCGGGGCATCTCAGTGAATCCTCTTGCCAGCCCTAGAACCCCTTCCCATGATGAGGAAACCACTGAGACCCATAGAGGGGAAGCTACTTGCAAACATCACACACCCTTGCTCAGTCCAGGGCACTCTGCCCCATCCCACACCTCCATTCTACACAGGAGGGACTCTAAACTCTCCACACTCAGAGCTAAGTTGGCCCCAAGGCATATGCCCACCTGTGCCATCTGCCTCCCAGGGGACCCCATCTTACACCCTGTCCCTCATTTTCAGGAGGACCCTAGGGAGGAACAGACAGCCATGGTTCCTCAGGTGATCCCTCTTCGGCGCTGCAGATACTGCCTGGTGCTGGTGAGTGATGCATGGACCCCCATGGGAGGGGTCAGGGCAAAGCTGAGACTCCCTGACTTCCTTCCGCCCCCGTGCCATGGTCTCATGACTCCTCCAAAGCCTCCCAGATTCAGGCCCTGATCCCTGGCCTCCCCTCCCCTCAGTGGTGGGCCCACAGTGGGGCTGGCGTCGAGCTCCTACTCCTGTCTGTGCCCACAGCAGCCTCTGCGGGCCCGGCACTGCCGTGAGTGCCGCCGCTGCGTCCGCCGCTACGACCACCACTGCCCCTGGATGGAGAACTGTGTGGGGGAACGCAACCACCCGCTCTTCGTGGTCTACCTGGCGCTGCAGCTGGTGGTGCTTCTGTGGGGCCTATACCTGGCATGGTAGGTGCCACCGCCACCACCTAGGGGAGGGTGGGCAGCGTGCACCCACACGTGTGTACAGAGCCAGGGCTCCCTGCGGCCCGGCATGGGGAGGGAGGGCCTCCCCTGCTTGCCCCTAGCTCCCGTCCCTGTCGGTCCCACAGGTCAGGCCTCCGGTTCTTCCAGCCCTGGGGGCTGTGGCTGCGGTCCAGCGGGCTCCTGTTCGCCACCTTCCTGCTGCTGTCTCTCTTCACGTTGGTGGCCGGCCTGCTCCTGGCCTCACACGTCTACCTGGTGGCCAGCAACACCACCACCTGGGAGTTCATGTCCTCACACCGCATAGGCTACCTCCGCCAGCGCCCCGGCAACCCCTTTGACCTCGGCCTGACCCGCAACCTGGCCCACTTCTTCTGCGGGTGGCCCTCGGGGTCCTGGGAGACCCTCTGGGCTGAGGAAGAAGAGGAGGGCAGCAGCCCAGCTGTTTAGGCTCACTAGAGGCAGGGCAGCTATCTCGTGCCTGAAAACCAGAGGGGCTATACCTGCTGGGGGCGGCTCTTCGGGGCCTGGGGCTGTTCACTCCTGCCGTCCTCCAGGCCTCAGAGCGGGGCTCCAAGACGGAATCCCCACCTATAGGCAGCTCCGCCTTCCACAGGAAGAAGGGGAGGAAGAGGACCTGTGGGAGACACAGGCCCAAACAGACCCTGGCTCCCCTCAACCCCAGGCCAGGCTGCCTCCAAGCACAGTTTTACAAGTTTAATAATCCATAAAGCAAGTCAAGTATTAAAAAGACAAACCAAACCACTCCTTACCGTGGCACCCCTGCTGGCCCGGGTCTCGCTGGGAGGCAGAGGGGTGGGCAGGAGGGGGCAGTGACACGCTTTGTCCAGTGACGCTGAGCAAAGCCCCTGACAGCAGCCCTGTGGCTGCCACCATAAGTCCCAAGGACACATAAATAGCAGGCAAAGGCCTGGGCCTGTGCAGGGCCACACAGCTGGGCGAGCACAGGCTTTAACCATCTGGGCAGGGGGCGGAGGCGTCGGGAGCGGCCCTCAGGGCTCCAGGAATCGCTCTGACACGAAGTCAAAGTCCCGGAAGGCGGCCTGCTGGTGGGCACTGAGAGCGCTGCGGGGCGCAGGAGGGGTCAGGGCAGGCGGCAGCCCCGTGAACTCGCCCTCAAAGTAGCGCAGGTCCGCAGGGCCACAGAGCGCGGGCACGAAGGGGGGCCGGACGGTGCGGGCGAGCAGCGCCTGCCAGTCGGTGGTCTAGGGGCAAGGGCAGAGGTGCCTGAGGTGGCAGGAACGGCAGCTCTCAGGGGTCACTCCATGCCGCCCACCCTGCCAGGCGCTGGGGACCACAGCTGTCCCGGCCACTCACCCTGAAGAAAGGCTGGATCTTGATCTCCTCAGCATCCTGCTCACCTGCCCCCAGGCGCTTCTCCGGGCACTTCTGGAGGAGCTGAGCAAAAGGACAGGTGCTCACTTGGGGCACCCAGCCCCAGGCACTGCCCACCTCCACCAGCACCACAAGCGAGCTGGGCCACAGGGCCCCAAGGGTGGGCAGCAGGGGACACATGAGCCGTGAGCAGCTGTCCAGCCCCACCTGGCCCCTGCAGTGCTCACCTTCTGAATGAGCTCGAGCCCCTGCACCGACAGAAAGCGGGGGTATGGGGCATCCGCGTTGACAATGCAGTCAAACACTTCCTCCTCGGTGTCACCTGGGAATGGGCACTGTGGAGATGGGGGCTCACTCAGCAGGGTGCCTGGGTGACTCACCCCCAGACCTGGAGGCCCCGGCAGCCCACTCCAGTGCGCACCTCGCCCACCAGCATCTCATAGAGCAGCACGCCCAGCCCCCACCAGTCCACAGCCCGAGTGTACGCCTCCTGGGTCAGCACTTCGGGGGCCAGGAACTCTGGGGTGCCACAGAAGGTGCTCGTCCGGTCCCCAAAGCCAATCCCTGCAAACCAACATGCACACCAATGCCTGCTGGGCGTGTCCCGTTCACAGTAACCTCTGTGCTTGTAAGAACCAATAGCCGACCCTTAGAATTCCAGGAACCCAGCCCTGTGCCAAGCCCTGCCCAGTACCTGACGAGGTGGGGATGGTTACAGTGCCATTTGACTACATGAGGAGGCGGAGTCTCAGCCAAGCTCACATGCCAAGGTCCCACAGAAGGCAGGACCCAATGCCCAGACCCGACCACAGGCTCTCCCTCAGGCCAAGTGTCAGCTGGGGCCCTTTAAAAGCCTCTAGGGCTAGGAAGCAGGGGCCAGTGTGGCCAGCTGTTCCCTAGAATGAGGGTGGGGGAGTACCAGGGCATCCTTGGGTCGGGAGGGGATTCCCTGGGAGATGCCACCTGCCCACCACCCTGCTGGTCCACACTGGGGAGGTAATGCTGGAGGACATGGATCGTGACGGGTGACCCCCACCTTCCTTGCATAACCCGAAGTCTGCGATCTTCAGGAAGCCCTGGGCATCCAGCAGGAGATTATCCAACTTCAGGTCCCTGAGTGCAAGGGGGGCATGTCAAAGTGGCTGAGAAGGGCTGAGACCTGGGGAACAGAAACTGGCCCCAGAGCAGCCCCGGAGGGCAGCATCCGCCTCCCTCCTGCCTCACCTCCCCCGGGCACCCGTGGGATCAAAGCTACCTGTAAATGATCTTCTTCTCGTGTAAGAACTGTAGCCCCAGGACCACGCAGGCCAGGTAGAAGCTGGAAGAGTGGTATGTGGGTGAATTCAGGCCCAGGACAGGCACCAGGGAAGGCATGGCCTGGGGACACCTGGATGTCCCAGCTGAAGTCAGATGTGGGAGAGAGACTGGGACAAACATCCGCCTGGGCCTGGGGGGGCTCAAGGTTGTCCCAAGGTTGCTGTGCACTAACTATCTATCCTTACTGGACCCTTAAGTTGTGCCAGGGACCATGCCAAGTGTCCTGCGTCCTCCCAGCAGCCTGCGGTTGATGCTCCTTATGCCTATTTTTCAGATGAGGATCTGAGACTCCAGGTAAGTGACCTGCCTAGGGTCACGCAGTCAGAGGCAGGGCTGATATGCCAGTTTGGGTCTAACTCCAGAGGCTGCACTGGAGGGAAAAAATAACTCCAGCTGCCAGTCCCCGTGCCAGGCAATTTATAAACACTACTCTCATCTATGCGACAACCCCGTGAAACAGTCATTTCGAGCCCGGTTCACAGCTTCATGAATGAAAGCCCAGGGGCACGAATGCTGAGAGCTGACGCCAAGATGGGAACCCAGGCCTCTCTGACTGGCGGCTCCTCTACTGATGGGCACCCTGGAGGCAGGAGGAGGAAGGGAGCAGCTCTGGGGACCCAGGGGAAGTTTTCTGGAAGACGCAGGCAGGAGGAAGGGGAACCCACCAGGCCTGGGGCTCAGGAAAGACGTCCTCGTGGATCTGCATCATGAGGTCACCACCGGGCACAAACTCAGTCACGAAGCAGGCGTGGCTGGAGGTCTGGAAGCAGGCGAGAAGGGAGAGCAGGAAGGGGTGCCCTGTGCAGCCCACAGCCTCCAGGATCCGCTTCTCACAGTACAGGCTGCAGGGGAGGCTGGGGTCTTAGAGGGAAGGAAACTCTCCCCCAGCTGTGCCCTGCCCCCCCCACAACACCGCTGGCTCGCTGGGCCCTCAAAGTGCTCAGTGGGTAGCGTGGTGGTTTCTAAATATCAAGGGCTCACATGGGTCATGGAACCTGTATAACCACTTATGCCCCCATTTTACAGAACAGCAAACTGAGGTGCAGAGAGAAGAGGGAACCTTTCCAAGGGTACGCAGCTGCAAGCACAAAAAGAGGACGCAGGCCTGCCTGGCCCCACAGTGTCACCTTTCCAAAGCCCCAGGAGCCTTCAGCTGCCTTCTGGGTGCTCAAAGCCCAGGCCAGCCATCCTGGGTGTCTTCCAGGGCCAACGGTCCCATTGCCTGGGCTCCCCAGCCCTGCTACGCACCTCTCTACCTCGTCCCGGCCGAGCACCTCCTGTTTCTTCAGTGCTTTGATGGCATAGTATTTCCCTGTCCCCTTGAACTGGACCAGGAGGACCTGGGGACCAAGGAGAGGTTAGGCTCCAGGTGGGCCGCACAAGGCCTTTACTTCCTCACCCCCACGGATCACTGTCCTCCTGGTTAATGTGCCGGGTCCCCCCACCCCACCGCACCCTCCTCAGCCCACTACCTTCCCGAAGTGTCCTCGGCCAAGCACGGCCAAGCAGCGGAAGTCCTGAAGTCGGGGTGGTTTCCTGCAAGAGAAAGGGCACAGGAAGCCCCCAGGACAAGGGCTGGGCCTCCACCCAGAGCCACTCCAAGCCCTGCATGCCCAGTTCCAGGCTGTCCCCAGCTATGGCGCTTGAGGAAGAGCCCTGCAGTGAGCGCCCCTGGCATGCAACTGGAGCTCGGTAACGCGAGTTCCTAAGTAAGGACCTGAGAGCCAGCCAGCGCACACACCCAAGGAGCCACCGAGCCATGCACAAATGGGGACACCGATGCTCAAGTACGATGCGCACCAGATGGGGGTACCTGGCAGGGGAGGCTGGTGGAGATGGCCCGAGTCCAGTCCTGGGCTCCATGTGGGGGCGTTTGATGCACTGCAAGGGCAGAGGGGCTCAGGGGAGGGCCGAGCTGCCTCCCCACTTCCCCTCCAGCCTGCCAGCCCCTTCCAGGAGGCCCCCGGGCCTATGAGCCTCGCCCACCCCTCACCGGGGTCTCCTCGGGGGTCGGCTCCTGGGGCAGGTAGAGGCGCGGGGGCTTGGGTGGGGGCTTCATCTCTTCTGCCAAGGGGGTCTTCTTGGGCAGGAAATTACTGTGGGGGGGAAGCAGACACATGGCCCAGCACAGGCAGATGGAATAGCTGGAGGGACAGATACACAGCCATGCAGAGACAGACAGACAGCGTAGAGGGCTGAGCAGTAGGGACAGACACGGCCTGAACCTGGAGAGAGGCAGCGCCAGGGAGAAACATCGGTGTGGGCCAGGTGGCTCCTCACCTGGGGGAGGCAGGATCGGAGGCCCCCCGGGGTATAGTCGGGGTCAGAGGGCACCCTTTTGGGGGGCTGATCGTGCTTGGGGAGCTGCAGGGGGGCAACAGGCTCATGACCAAGCGTCCCCAGGCCGCCATGCTGAGGTTCATCTGGGAAGCCCTCAGGAAGTCCTGGCCTGGGGACAAGGCGGGAGCTCAGGCCGGGGCCCATGGGGGCCCAGCCCTGCTCCCCACACGCAGAGCCCCACACCCCCCACACCTCTGCGTTTAGAGAAAACGCGTTTCTGCCTCTGTAGCCGGGGCCGCCTCTCAATGACAGGATCACAGAAGGTCACCTGCAGGGGCAGAGGGCAGGGTTGAGGACTGGCCCACTCCTACCCCATCTGCCCCAGCTCAGCCCAAGCTTCCAGTGTCAATAGATGCAAGAGCCCGAAAAACGGCTTCAATGTCCTCATGGATGCCAGTGGAGAAACTGAGGCCCAGAGAAGCAAGGCAAATGTCCAGGGTCACAGCTGAGACAGGCAGTTAGGACAAGGACGCAGGCCTCCAGATGCGGCCCCTTAGGGGCGAGAGTGCCTGGGAGTCCTTATTCCTGCAGACCGGCCCTCTCTGGTCCACAGTCTCGATCCTTACACACGGTGGGTCTCAAAGGCCCTCCTCACCCTGTGCACCCAGGGACCCACCAGGTCAGAGGGCAGGGACAGTGAGCACCTGGGCGAAGAGCCGCCCCTGTGGCACCAGGCTGAGGGACAGTTGGTGACAGGCATTGTCCAGGAAGTCCTCCAGCCTCAGGAAGGCCATGCCACACAGCTGCCGCCAGTCCCGCCAACGTACCCCGATCTCCAGCTCGCGGGCCTACACAGAGGGGCCAGGCTCAGGCTGGGGCGCGGCATGAGCCCTGACCTGGGCAGCTCCACCCCATCCCAAAGTCACCCCAACCATGCAAAGGCCAGCCTTACTCGCTCCAGTGGGATGACAAAGGTCTGGTCCCAGGACTGCTCGGCAACCTGCCCCCAGCCTGTCTGGCCCACGGTGCGGTTGTCCACCTTCAGCACAGCCAGCACCTCGCCTGCAGGGCCAGAGCTGGGGGTCAGAGCAGGCCTAGGGCAGGAGTCCCCTGCATCCCCGCATAGCTGCTTCCCCACTCACGGGCCAGCTCGCCTCCACCACGCTGTTGCCTTGCCCTGGTCCGAAGCCAGCCCTCGGAGGGGCTTCCAGCCAGTGCAGCCACCGGAGAACGTCCCGGCACAACTGTCAGCAGCTGCTCACATCCCAGGAGGCGGACCTGCAGTGTCCCTGTGGGGGGGCATTGTCAGATGCTGTCTTCCCTCTGCCACCGCCAATGTGCCCTGACATCCTAGGAATCCCACTCTCACCAGGAGGTGGCTGAATCCAGACCCTACCTACATTAGGCTGTAGTAGCCACCTGCCATCCTCGGGCAGAACGACTGGCTCTCCCCTCCACATGTGAGGGCAGCAGGGACACAGGTGTGCAGCACAACCCAGACTTCAGCCAGGCTGCGCGGAGCCACAGCACGTGGCGGGATGCTGCTGCTCAGGGCCCAGAGAGCACCGTGGCAGGGACGAGAGCTTGGGGCAGGGAGCGGGAAGCCTGACCTCCTGTGCTGTCCCACCTGCCCCTGGCCTCAGCTTCTCCACCTGAGCAGGGGAGGTAAGTCCCACTCGGCCCCACCTCCCCCAAAGGTGTGAAACACGCTTTGCTAAGCGGGTAAGTTCATTTTTAGGGTCACTAGAGTTCTGTCTCTCAAAGGGTAGAGGAAGCACTGGAATCTAGCAGCTTTTGAGAATACGAAGTGGGCCCAAGAGCACCATTTAAGGAGTCCAGGCCTGGGGGTTACACTCAGACAGCCCTTATAAACAAAGGCAGGTGTTCAGAGTGGGAAGACCTTGGAAAGAAGACTGAAGGAACTGGGGTGCTCAGCCAGGAGCTAGGGTACGGGGGCCGTGAGTAGTTGGATTCCAGGTCTTTTAACAAGCTGTTCCCTCTGCCTTCCCCAACTTGGCCACTTAAGTATTCCTGTAGGTTCTTCAAGGCCAAGATCAAGCACTACTTCCTCCAGGAAGCATTCCTTGATTCCCCAAGGCCAGGCGAGGGGGCCCCATCCAGCCCCTGCACTTCCTCTTCTCAGCTCTGCTGCCGGTGGAAGGGGCCCGTCTGCTGCGCACCCGCGCTCTGCGCAGGCAGCCGCCGGCCCTCCTGGCTCACACTGTATCTCAGGCGGGAAGCTCAGGGCTGCGAAGCCGAAGCTTTCAGGTTATTTGTCAATTGCTACAAGGAGACACAGCTCAGCTCAAGATAAGAAAGAACTTTCTGGCCGGGCGTGGTAGCTCACGCCTGTAATCCTAGCACTCTGGGAGGCCGAGGCGGGCGGATTGTTTGAGCTCAGGAGTTCCAGACCAGCCTGAGCAAGAGTGAGACCCCGTCTCTACTTAAAATAGAAAGAAATTAATCAGACAACTAAAAATATATAGAAAAAGTTAGCAGGGCATGGTGGCGCATGCCTGTAGTCCCAGCTACTGGGGAGGCTGAGGCAGAAGGATCACTCGAGCCCAGGAGTTTGAGGTTGCTGTGAGCTAGGCTGACGCCACGGCACTCTAGCCCGGGCAACACAGTGAGATTCTGTCTCAAAAAAAAAAAAAAAAAAAAAAGGAAAGAACTTTCTAATAGTCTGAGCTGCCGAGGACTGGGTACCAAGGCCTCCAGGTCTGTGGGCTCCCTCACGCCAGCACTTAAAGCATTATTACAGTTATTTATTTATATGATAGCTACATTGTCCCAGTGCAGACTCTGCCAGGCACTGCGCTTAGCACTTTACGTGCAACAAGTCACTGTACTTTCACAGCAACCCTATGAGGGAAGTGCTATGAATAAAATCATCCCCATTTTACAGATGGATAGACTGAGGTTCAGAGAGGGGATGTCAGTTGCCCAAGGTCACACAGCTAGTGGGTGGTGATGCCAGGATTAGAACTCCTCCCTGAAATGCTTCCCCACTGTGCTTCTGGGTCCTCCCCAAAAGGGAAGGAGAGCTCTGAAGTGGGAGGGACTCCCAGCTACCTGTCAGGGCCGTGGGCTTCACAAGTGTCCCTGAGGGTGGGGGGCTCCCAGGCACCACAGTCCGCAGCTCCCGGGCCACTCTGCTGCGCAGAGGATGAGCAGGTGGCAGGCCCTCCAGCAGCTGCTCCAGGGCCAGCCGAAGGAGGTCCAGTTTCTGGGAGGACTCTTGGAGCTGGGCCTGGGCCTGCAAAGGGGACACAGGCAGGGGCAGGCCTATGGGATACGTGGGGCGGCAGTGGCCCAGGCTACCCAGAGTCACCACCCACATGACATCTCCACGGAAGGTGCCTCCTGCCACTGCAGAGGGTGGTATGGGAATAGGCAGACCCTCGGAGAGGGCAGCAGGGAGGGGCTGGGGCCTGACCTCGGCCAGCGCCTTGCGGTCCTGTGTTCTTCGGCCACCGAGCAGCTTCACCACGTTCTTGGCGCCCTCGGCCACAGCAGCCTCCACGCGCAGTCGGTGCTGCAGCTCCTCCGCCAGCAGCTCAGGGCCTGGGGGAGGAGGACATCCCTCAGCCCCTGCCCAGCCCTGCCCTGCCCGGCCCTGCGGCCTTCTCAAGGCCTCACCTGGTTCAGGGGACCCACTGGCCTCCAGGCTGCTGATCTTCATCCGCAGCAGGGCGACCTTCAGCTGGCTGTCCCGCAGCATCTGCTGGGCGGCTGCCAGGAGCTTCTTCTCCTGCGGGGCCATGCCGTATGCCCCGTCAGACCAGTTCTCAGCCAGGGCACCCCCATCAGACCAGGGACTGGAGCCGAGCCTCCCTCAGTAGGCCAGACACTAGAGTCAAGCTTCTCTGGCCAGGCCAGCCGCAGGGGCAGAGCCTTCTCCATCAGAGCGACAAGAGCTGGGCCTAAGCCTCCCCGATCCGATCATGGCTGGGGCCAAGTCTTCCTGTCAGACACGGACTGGGGCTCCCCACATCATACTGGGAGGTGGGACTGGGGACTGGACTGGGATCCCGCTGGACTGGTGCAGGGCCTTCTCTCTTAGTCTCGGGCTCAGGGCCACACCTTCCCACCCGGCTGGGGTTTGGGGTGGCACTTCCTCCAGCAGATTGACCTGTAGGGTCAATGGCTGGGCTGCACTTCCCTGTCAGGATCGGGGCAGAGCTGCCCCTCCCCTAATATCTGACAGCCAAGTCTCACCAGAGGTGAGGCTGGGACTGTGCCTCCCCTATCAGGCTGGGGGCCTCACCTTGGGGGTGCCACTGGCACACGTGTGGGTCATGTTCTCGGCCCCCTGCTTCACCTTCAGCTCCACCTGCAGCTGCCTCCGTAGAGCCTCCAGGTGCCGTGCCCTTGGCTGCTCAGCCCGCGGCCGGGGGCCCAAGCCCACAGGTTCTGTCACAGGGAGGGTTCCCATCACCTACAGCCCAGACCTCCATGGCCTAGCTGTCCCCTCCCTCCCCTCCTGGGCTATCGGCGGGGGCTCTGGGAGGAGGCTCGGGGAGGCAAGGCAGTCTCGGCACAGGGCCAGGGCCTGGGTCAGCCTGCAGCCTCCCGTCCTGAGGAGTCTCAGCTCCTCACTCACCAGCCTGGCCAGGCCCGGGGCCAGGCAGCAGGATGCGGGCGTGCAGCTCCCGCAGTTCGCCATGCAGCTGCTCCAGGCGGCGGTTGGAGGAGCGCAGCAGCTGCTGCACGTGGCCCAGGTGGCGGCGGTCTGTGGCCACCCGCCGCAGGTTCTCCATGCCTTCCTTGATTTTCAGCTCCTTCTGGATGGCCCGACGGATCGCCTCTTTCTCATCCTCTGAAGGCCGCTGGCCCGGCCCAGGCTGCAGAAGGGCAGAGAGGAGGCATGGGATACAGCCCCACCAGCAGCCCCTGCTCCCTGCAGATGGAGAGGGTGGAGGGACTGCACCCAGGACCGACGCACACAGGGCTTGCTCTTAGAGCCAGACGGAAAGCCCAACGCCACTCACATAGCCCATGCTCCTGTCGTCTGCCGTTTAGAGAAGGGGAAGGGGAAACTGCTAATGTTTATGCAATGCTCACGGGGTGCCAGGTTCTGTTCTAAAAGCGGGGCATATACTACCTCCTCACTCCTCCCAGCAACTCGACCAGGTAGGAGCAGTTATTATGCCCGTTATAGAGATGAGGAAACTGAGACCCAGAGAGGTGAAGAAACTTGCCCACAGTCGAGACAGAGAGAGGCCACCATCTTGGGGCTGGTGGGGATGGATACCAGCCTCTCCCTGCCAGCCATGGAGAACCAGGCTGCCGTAAGTCTGGGAGCCAGAGTAAATCTGGGAGCCAGAGAAAGCTCAGCACTGAGAAGGGATTCACCCAAAATCACCTGGAGAAGGTAGCCAGTGGCCTGTGAGGCCAGGGCTTGTTCCCTACATCCCAATGCCACAGGTGGCAAAGCGGAGGCACAGAGAGGGACCGGGTGCCCACTCCCAGCTTGGCTCCTGGGGGTAGGTAGAAGTCTCTCACTGCCTCACCCCAGGCTGGAGCCAGGAAGAGGAAAACCTTCTTTCCAGAGGCCGACATTTTAAACCAGCTAGTGCCAAAGGTGACCACAGGCTGGGGTGACCCACGATGCCCCTCCCAACACAGACTCTTGCAGGGACCCCACCTTACCTCTCTGTGTTCCATCTCCTGAGCCTAGTGGAAGGGGTGGCGACCCCAGCCTCAGGGACCCCCCACCCCAGGCGTAGGCTGGGTCAGCTGGCTGGGCTGTCAGAGGGCAAGGGCGAGGCTCAGGAAATCCTTTGACCGCCCTAGGCAAGAGGGCCAGAGCCAAAGGCCGGAGCAGACAAAGATCCCATGGAGCTGGAGGCCTGGCCACCAGGGTCCTGAGTCACCCAGCCACCCGCTGCAGGGCGGAGGCTTGCAGGAAATTGGAAAATGTGTACAAGCCACGGCTGGAACAGGCGGAGGCACCTCCGGAGGAAGGGTATGGGAGGGGGTAGACCCAGCCTGCAGGCTCCCTAAGCGACTGGGGTGGGAGCACTCCAGGAGTCTCTGTCTACCACACCTCACGCCCAGCATAGCCCTGTGCGTGTCCCGGCTACTCTGGGCTGGAATCCTGACCACACACACCTCCTCCTCTCTGCTCCCCGCTGGGATCCTATCTTGTACACAAATGTCCCCGCCCACCCCCAGTTGCTCTGGGACAGGACATCACCTCTCCCTCCACAGTAACAGACAGATGGGCACACACAGCCTTGGCCCTCTGGGCCCGCTTGCACCTACTGCCAGCTCTGGGCAGGAACCCTGGCCCCCTGGGAATTCTGGAACACTCTGTACCCTAAGGTTCCGGCCCGGGCGTGGGGCTGGGCCCCTCCCCCCGCGCCTCGTGTGCTCTGGGAAGGACCCCCCCCAGGTGCGCACACGCGTCCCTCTCCCCGGGCCTCCTTTGCTTTCCCGCTAATTCCCGTCGGCTTTAGAGCCCCACTTGGAAGAACCGATTTTAGGAAACTCTGGGGCCCACCATGCCGAGTCAGATGTGCTACGGGCTGGTCTGACTCGAGGCTCCGGGCTGACCTGGAGTCGGTTCCAGGGCCCATGACCGACCTAACCCGCGCTCCGGGCTGCCCTGCGAAGCTGTCGCGGGGCCGGGGCGGGGACGGGGCTGGGGACGCGGCAAACGAGGCTTCCCGCCCCGGCTCCGTTCACCTGCCGCGGCGCCCCCTCCTCCATGGCGCCGCTGGGGCCGCTCGGGTTCCGGAAGCCACGGCCCCTCCGCCAGGACTTTCAAACTTGAAACTTCCCGGGAAGCGGCGCTGGAGACGAAGGATCGGGCGCCCCCTCCCGAGACCCGCGGGCCCTCTGGGGACCTAGGACCAGCGCCGCCTCTCGGCCGCGCCGGGTAACGCCGCAGAGCCCGCTCCTGGGGTCCGAGGCCCCAGCACCTCTCCCGGATCCAAAATTCCGCGGGATTCCGGGCCCAGTACTCCGTCTTCTGCGGCCGCAGTTCCCGCTCGGCGTGGCACTGGCCTCTGTCCCGGGACTGGAGAGCAGGGGGGGCACCCCGGGCCCGGGTCCTCCGGCTGTGCCCTGCCGCGCGCTCAGAGGGGCCTGCCCGGTGGGGACAGCGCCCCCTGCCGGCGTCGGGGCGCAGCCTGTGTCGTGGGTCCACTCCAGCCGGGGCTGACCCGCTAACCCTGGGCCCCGCCACGACCTGGCCGCCGCCCCTAATGCGCTGGGAAGTCTCTCTTCGTCTCAGATGTCGTGGGTGTAAAATGGGCTAATCCCAAACTGTCGTCCCCTCGGAGTGGTTGGCCCTACCTAGCTATTATTCCCAAGAACGTATACCTCAGGGAAAAATAAAACCTCACCCAAATTATGGTAAATTACAAATTATGGACGAATGAACTAAACGTCTCTCAGGCCCATCACTTAACTAGACTGAGCTTGCTGGTTCAGCCAGAGCGATTGTTCCAACTTTGCGCTAAAAAGCCCATCCAAACAGGAGAGAAAACATTTACACCTTGTGAAGTAGCCACTGTCTCAGGAAAGTGATGCCCGCATGGGGTGTGCTGGCAACGTCGTGCCCGTCTGGAGGATCCTGGTTCTTCACTGCCTAGTCTACGGTGGGCCATTCCAGCCACTTCCCAGCGTCCTGTGCTTACCAGCCCCTTGTGCCAGAAACACACTAGAAGGAGCCCCCTCTAAGGGGTCAGAAAGTGACGAAGGGCCAAATATTGACCCTGACTTGGACCAGGTACGGTCTAGCACTCTTACCGAAGGAAGCCACCTGTTTTACTTCACAGTGATCACCTCACAAGGGGCTGGAAAAAGTGAAACTGGCCAGCCATGGACAACGCTGGGTTGTCCTACAATGGGACATCAGCATAAGCAGAGGCAGCTTGGTTCTGTGAGACATGCCCAGATTTCATAATCAAAGGCAAAACGTGACAAGTTTACATATCAGAGTTGTTGAGGGCTAGACATTAACACAAGCACCTGGCACATAGTAGGCTCTTTAAAATGAGGATTCTCAAGCTGTCTTGAGGTGAATGTTATTATCCATCATTTGGGAGTAAAAAAGCTTCAGCTTCTCACCACAGCTCACCAAAAGCCCACTAATCAAACTAGCAAGCCTCTGCCCCTTTTAGGAACTCCCCCAATGGTGCCATCAGTCCAGCCAGCTAATTAACATTTAAAAATACGTATTTGACTTGGTAAGTAAATGTCACTTCTAGAAGCCAAATGTATAATCTGATCAGACAACCGGAGTGTTCACTTCTCATCTCAAGGTCCATTTAGCTGGGAAGCTGAACTAGATGGTTTTCCAAGTTTGCTGAGAAGTGTTTGTTTCACTGTTACACTAAGGGAAAGGAGTTCAATGGTAGCAAAATCCATCTAATGCACCCAGGCTGGGCAAACCAGCAGGGAAACAAAGTCCTGCGCTGCCGAATGAGTCTGACCAGATACCTGCATCTTACATCTGATAGTGATGATACTCCATGAGATCGGAATTCTTAGGAAAATGTAAATTCATGTTCAACATCCAATGGATAGTGAATAGTTCAAACAAACTCTCCAGCTAGTTGGCCTATAAAAGTATAAAACAGTTAACCTGAAAGGAACCTAAAACTTCCTAGCAGGAAATGTTTTCCCCCTTTCCATACACACAATGTTTTTCCTTCTCAGTATTGCAACTAGTCCATCTACATTTAGATTTGTCTCTGGGTAGAATCCGAGCTCACTTCACCAACTAGTCAGGTTGGCACACACCCTCCACTTTAAAAGTCCTCACTACTCTTGTTCTAACCACAAAACAACAGCCCTTTCCATCAGACCTTTTAAAAAGTAAACTTACAAGCCTTCATAAACACAGCCACATATCCAAAAAGGGAATGGTCACTAATGGGGTTATCATAAACTTTTCAAAATAAATTTTTTTTTTTTTTTTTTTTTGAGGCAGAGTCTCACTCTGTCACCCAGGCTAGAGTGCTGTGGTGTCAGCCTAGCTCACAGCAACCTCAAACTCCTGGGCTCAAGCGATCCTACTGCCTCAGCCTCCCGAGTAGCGGGGACTACTGGCATGCACCACCAGCTAATTTTTTTTCTTTTAGTTGTCCAGCTAATTTCTTTCTATTTTTAGTAGAGACAGGGTCTCGCTCTTGCTCAGGCTGGTCTTGAACTCCTAATTTCAAGTGATCCTCCTGCCTCAGCCTCCTGAATAGCTGGGATTACAGGCTCTAGCCATGATGCCCAGCTAATTTTTTCTATTTTTAGTTGTCCGGCTAATTTCTTTATATTTTTAGTTGAGATGCTCTTGTTCAGGCTGGTCTCGAACTCCTGAGCATGCCTTGGCCTCCCAGAGTGCTAGGATTACAGGCGTGAGCCACTGCTCCCGGCCAAATGTCCTTTTTAAACAATTGGAATAGCTATTCACTCATGTCTTAAAGAATTTGCCAGGTACAGGGGCTGGCACAGGTAACCATGGCTACTCAAGGAGGCTGAGGCCAGAAATTCAAGACCAGCATGGGCAACATCGTGAGACCTTGTCTCTTAAAAAAAGTATAAAAAAATAAAAAATAAGAAAATAGCCAGGCACGGTAGCACATTCTTGTAGTCCCAGCTATTCAGGAGGCTGAGGTGGGACGATACCTTGAGCCCAGGAGTTTAAGGCTGCAGAGACCTAAGATCGTGCCACTGCACTCCAGCCTGTGCAACAGAGCAAGACCCTGAGCAAGATCCAGAGTGTCTCTTAAAAAAAAAAAAAAGCTTGTCTCAGTCTTCAGGAAATCCTGAAAGTCTTTGCCCTTTGCAACAGAATTACATTTTTACAATAGTCAGAAAGGGTTCATAGCAAAATCTAACAAAAAAGACAGAAAAACCAAACCTGTGTTTCTGGCACTAATTAAAACCCTGAAACTAGTTGTTATAAAACAATAGTGACAGATTATCAGATCAACCCAGAAACACAATTGTTTAGGAATTGATAGCCCCAAATCCATGCCAGAGTAAAACACTCCTGTACCTTTTGGGAGCCAAGCAGCTAACACAAGTGAAACAAGCAGGGCAGATGTGAAGCAAATCCGTCAGCCAAGCAAAATGTGTAAGTACTCTGTGGACCATTTAAACTCTACATTTTGGGGAGGCTGAGGCAGGAGGATCGTTTGATCCTGAGAGTTAGAGGTTGCAGTGAGCTTTGATGATGCCACTGCACTCTAGCCTGGGCAAGAGAGCGAGACCCTGTCTTAAAATAAATAAATAAAATAAACACTATTAATATATTTTATAAGATGGTTGAAATTTTTTAAGAGCCTATTAATGGAGGTCAGGGAATCCAGTTAAAATTAAGTCTTTTTGAAACCACTGGAGAAACAAGAGCTGCAAGGATGGTCTAAAACAGAACATTCCTTCTTCTTTTTTTTTAAGACAGGGTCTTGGCCTGGCACAGTGGCTCACACCTGTAATCCTAGCACTCTGGGATGCTGAGGCGGGTGGATTGCTTGAGCTCAGGAGTTCGAGACCAGCCTGAGCAAGAGCGAGATCCCGTCTCTATGGAAAATAGAAAAAAATAAGTCAGGCAACTAAATAAAAATAGAAACAAAAAATTAGCCAGGCATCGTGGCTCACGCCTGTAGTCTCAGCTACTTGGGAAGCTGAGGCAGGAAGAACCCTTGAGCCCAGGAGTTTGAGGTTGTTGTGAGCTAGGCTGATGCCAGGGCACTCTAGCCTGGGCAACAGAATGAGACGCTGTCTCAAAAATAAACAAACAGGGTCTTGCTGTCACCGTGGCTAGCATGCAGTGGCGTAATCATAGCTTACTGTAACCTCAAACTCCCAGGCTCAAGCAATCCTCCCACCTCCCCAGAGTGCTACGATTACAGGTGTGAGCCACTGCACCCAACCCCTCCCTTAAGGTTTTGAAACTAAATGTAAGGATACCTTGCAAACTACTGTCCTCTATTCCAATTCATGTGGTTATTAAATTCCCCTCATGGGCTGAGTATGGCAGTTTTGGAAGAGCACAGCCCCTCCCCAGAGAAGGAAATTACTTCAACAGCCATTATTTGCTCTTTTTAAGTGTCCTTGATCAAAGGAGCATACACACTTGCCTAAGGGCCAGTCCAACAATTCCTGTTGCAATTGGGCACAAGGCACACTGGCTACTCTGCAGGGATTCTCCTGGGTGCTAAGCTTGCCATTTTGCTTTCTCACACACAGCCTGGTCCTCTTTTACAAGATTTGCAGAAACAGGGTAGTCTAGAGAGTGAAGCAATAGCTGGGAACAAACGATTGCCTTAAAGGGCCCCCAATTTTCGACATTTCCCAAAAGGAACATTATATTCGATTGTAACCTGTAACCTAACAGCTCTAGAATCTCACCAGCACATAAAACCACCAGCTGTGCTGAACTGCAACTTTGTGAAACAATATTACAGGTTTAAGTATTAATATTAGAGCAAGACTACAGTATTACCCCCTTATCTGTGGGGGATACTTCCTAGACCACCCCTAGGGGCCACCTGAAGCCATGGATACCAGCAGCCCCTATGTATTTTTTCCTATACATACATACCTATGATAAAATTTACAAATTATAGTATTGTCCTCAAGGTATAGGGCTAAAAACAAAAATTTACAAACTAGGCACAGTAAGAAATTAACAATAATATAGGACAATTTTGACAGTAAACTGTAATAAGTTACATGAACGCAGTTTTCTCTAAATATTTTAGGACCACCGTTGACCATGCATAACTGAAACCTGGGATGAGGGACAACTGTAATTTTCTTCCTAGGGAAAAGTCCTTTTGAA